GAATGAAAATGATCATTGAAGGATTTTACACTGGATAAGAAAGAACTTCACCAGTGAAATAATTTCTCTTTATCTTGCCTACTATAAATATCAAAGCTATAATCAATAAACACTTACATTCTCTCCAGCATTGGTTCCTTTGATGAAATTCTCATCATGTTTCACTTTAACACTGACATTGAGTCCTTAGAGGTGGCTTATAAAATCCCTTCCACTTCAATCCTTTCTCTGATTATTTTAATTTCCTGCTTAAATACTTGCAAAAACTTCCACAATTACAAAATTTTTAAGCTTAGGTGTCCAAACACGCTTTACTTTAAATAACAATTTTCTCACACGTATATTGTAGATAATGATCTAGATGATCACTACTGGACTAGTTATTATGTCTGTAAGATGTCAGTGCTTACTGTCTTTATGATCAAATTCACAAAATGCATACAATTTTTTCTCCTTCTGAAAGTACCTGCAAAATAGGGAAAGAGTAGTTGTTGTGGATAAAATTGTGTCCCCAAAAAGATACAGTGAAGTCATAACATCTGGTACCAGTGAATGTAACCTTGTTTGGAATAAGGGTCTTGGAAAATGTTATCAGTGAAATTAACATGAGCTCATACTATAGAGTACCAAAGTGCCAAACCTGTTGCCATCAAGTCTACCCCAACTCATGATGACCCCATGTATTTCAGAGTAAAACTGCACTCTGTATAGAGTTGTCAAGGCTGTGACCTTTCAGAAACAGATTGCCAAATCTTTCATCCCAGGTACCACTGGGTGCTTTCAAACCACCAACCTTTTGATTAGTAGTCCAGCACTTAATCATTTGCACCAGCCAGCGACTACAGGAAGTGGGTCTTAATCCAATATGGAAGATGTCATTATAAAAGTAGTGAAATACAAAGACAGACACAGAAGGAAGATGGCTATGTGAAAATGGCGGCAGAGTTAGAATTTTGCTGCAGCTGTAAACCAAGGAATGCCTAGGGCTACCAGAGCTGGAAGAGACAAGAAAAGATCTTCCCTTTGGGGTTTCAGAAAGAGCATGGCCCTACTGATACTCTGAATTCAGACTTCTAACCTCTAGACCTGTGAAAGAATAAATTTCTGTCTTATAAATCACCCACTTTTTGGTACTTTGTTATATCAGCCCTAGGAAATTAATACAGTAGTTAATATACTTGGTTACATCAAGTAGTGTTTATGGGATGTTATGCATATTATATGAATAAAGTTTTGGCAGAAGTTTGAATAAAGAAAATTGTTAGAAGGATAGCGTCATCATAGAGGGCTTAACATAATCTGTTTCTTATTATATAGTATCATATTTACACTCCTAAAGTACATATTGCCTGAACTTGTCCTTTTTCCCTAGAAAATAAGCCAGCTGATATTTTGAATGGAATGATGTGGAAATTATAGATAATTTGAAGGAGAATCGTCATGTTAATAATCTTTTGTCTTTTAAACCATGAAAAAAGGTTTATCTCCCAATTTATTTAGGCTTTCTTTAATTTCTGTCAACAAAGTTTTGTATTTTTTAGTGAATAAATATTCAAATGTCTTGCGATAATTATACTTAATCATTTCATATTTTGATACTATTTTAATTGATGTCATTTTTAAAATTTTGACTTCTAGTTGTTTGCTGCTAGTATATAAAAATACCATTAACTTTTGTATGATGATTTTGTATCTTGCAAACTCTCTAAACTCACTTACTAGTTTCAGTAGTTTGTGTGTGTGTGTAGTCCATTGGATTTTCTGTATAAACGATTATATCATCTGTGAATAAAGGTAGTTCGAAATCCCTTTCCAATCTGGATTAATTGTATTTGCTAGCAAAAGTTGCCAGACATTGCAGCACATTTTTGGAAAGAAATGATATGAGTAAAAATCTTTGTCAAGCTACTGTTCTTAGGGAAAAGCATTCAGTCCTTTACCATTAAATATGATGTTAACTGTAGATGTTTCATAGGTGTCCCTTAATCAGGTTGGACAACATCCCTTCAATTTCTAATTTCTTTAGAGTTTTTTCTTTTCTTCTAACATCTTAACAAAGATGTGATTCACATACCATACACTTCACCCACTTAAGTATATTATTCATTGTTTTTTAGTATATGCAATGAATTGTACAAACATCATCACAATAAAATTTTAGAATATTTTTATCACCCAATAAAGGTTACTTTATAACTGTAACCTGCAATTTCTTCCTCACTTCCAATCCCTAGACAAACACTAATCTACTTTATGTCTCTGTAGATTTGCATATACTTGGCTTTTTATATAAATGGCATATAAAATATGTGAACTTTGTTAACTGGCTTCTTTCACCTAGCATAATGTTTTTATCCATGTTGCAGCTTGTATCAAAACTTTATTCCATTTTTATTAACAAATAATCTTACATTTTATGGAGGTACCTCAATCTTTTTAAATATCCATCAGCTGATGAGCATTTAGGTTGTTTCCAATGTTTTGCTAGTACAGATAGTGTTGTTATGACAATTCACATCCCGATTCTATATAGACATATGTCTTCGTTTCTCTTGAGTTTATACCTAAGAGGGTAATTTCTGGGTCATATAGTACCTTTATGTTTAACATACTGAGGAACTACCAAGCTATTTTACAACATACAGTAGTTTATTTCTGGAATTCTAATTCTATTTCATGGCTCTATGTGTCTACACTTATGTCTGTTCCACTCTGTCTTTATTACTGTAACTTTGCAGTAAGTTTGTAAATAAAAAAGTGTAAATTCTCCAATTTTGTTCTTTTTTTCCAAGAATGTCTTGACTATTTTGTTTCCTTTGCATTACCATATAAATTTTAGGATGAAATGGATCAGAAAAATGCAACTGAGATTTTCATAGAGATGGTGTTGAATCTGTATATTAACATGTGAATCATTGCTATTTTAACAATATTAACTTTCTTTCAATAATATTTTGTAGTTTTTAGATTATAAATATTGCACTTAGTATATTAAAATCATTCTTAATTGTTTTATTGATTTTGATGCTATTATAAATGGAAGCATTTATTTAATATAAAGAATTAAATGGAGTTAGGAAATGTCAAATTGAAAATATCAGTAAACAGAAGTAAACTATAAAAAGAATTAAGTGGAAATTCTGTAGTAAAAAGTATAGCAAATGCAATGAAAAATTAACCAGAGTGGCCTCATAGTGGTTTTGAGATGACAGAACAAATAAGCAAACTCAAAGGTATAGTAACAGAAATTATGCAATCTGAAGAACAGAGTAAAAGAAAGAATGAAGAAAAATAAACAGCCCATCAGGGAAATGTGGGACACCATTAAGTACACTGACACATGAGTAATGGGAGTAACAGAAAGGCAAAGGGATAGTAGGAAAAAAAAATTGTCTTAAAACTTCCAAATTTTGATGAAAACATTAACCTACTCATTCAATAAACTCAAAGAATACCTAGTAGAAAAAACATAAAGGGACCTACACCCAGATACAGTATAATCACAATGTTAAAAGACAAAGACATAGAAAAAAATCTTAAAAGCAAGAAGAAAAAATATACAAGAGAACATCAGTAGGATTAACATATGACTTATCAACAACAATGGCAGCCAGAGGACAGTTGGATAACATATTCAGTGTTGAGAGAAAAATAAAATGTCAATAATTTTTTTTTTCTTATTTTGAGCAAATCTCTAAATAAAGGCATTCACAGATACAATGCATGATCAAGTCAAATGTTAGATTGATGCTCCTACTTTTTTTTTTCCCCAATGATAAATGCATTTCATCATTTATTTAGATGTTTAAGCTTTTGAAACTAGGTTTTTACAAGCTGGTGAACACTGACAAATTATTTCTCGCACAGAGCTATAACCACACATTCCCAGACAGCATAAATATATGGTTGAACTAACATTAATACACATCACCATTTTATCAATTACATAATAAAACAAGTTATCAAGTATCCAAATATTAAGTTACACAGGTCAAAAGGCATATAAAAATTAGAGTCTCTTCAATTCATTAGCAGAAACCCACTTTTTTTGCAAGAGAGGTTGGAAAGAGAAGGAAAAAAAATCATATTTCAAACAAAAGTTGGTAACCACTTCCAACTGATATGGAAAAAAATTACAAGAATTTCAGAAATTTTATTATTAAGAATTGTTTTCACTACAATAGCAAAGCTTCTCTACCTTTTAAAAAAACATTTACTAAATTAAAGAGCATATTCTACATGTTCTGCGCAAGACGAAGGCAACATTTTACTAAAAATATTTAATAGCTCCCTCCCATTCTTTTTTCAGGCCTTCCCTGTTAAGTTGCACCGTAAAGTGCAAACATTAAATTTACTGTAAGGTTTTTTTTTTTTGAGAGGGTAGGGTCTGGAGACATTGAAGATGTGCTTCTGTACTATGTAGATTTTTCAAAATGGTTTTCCATAAAAGCACAAAATGAGATTTGTAGAAAGACATTAAACAGTCACTTGAAGTCTTGGTAAAAAATCCAACAGAAATCAATAGTTGTGCAAACTTGATGTATATTGATACAAATGTGGGAGATGTAAACAAAAAATGAACAGGCAAAAAACTATAGATCCTACTTTCAATGTTTGAAATGACTGAAGGAATAAATCACATAAGGTCTAGAGTGTTCATAGTTCCTGGGATTTTTTAGTTCTGTATGATACTAAAAATATACCAGTATTGTGCTGGGTATTTTGGCACCTAATCTTTCTAAATTTCTTATATATTGGTACGATTCTGGCATGGGAATAGCTTTGAAGAAGACATAACAATACTGCATGATTTCAGGAAATGTCAATTGGTACAAATGATAAGCACATTTTAAACGCTGAACAGTAAGAAACCTTTGCTAAGTATCCAGATAGGCCGATCTTAACCCAAACATGGATGTTGCAATTCTGTTAATCCTGTAGCTTGGTGTTCTGTTCTGTCTCAAGTTCCACTTTCAAGGCAATACCATCAGGCACCCGTTTTATTGAATGCAGCAGTTGTTTCTATGACCACTGGACTCTTTGAAGTGCAGCTGCACTTTACGATACTTCTCCGCATGCAAAAGTTGCTTGCTATTTAAAGCTCCATGCCGCTTTTGTCTTATGAACTGTACTGCATCTTTGTATTTCATTCCACCTTCAATTAATACTAGGGCAACAAGTACTGGAGCTCTCTCAAGACGCGCAACACAACGAACAGCAATACAACAATCAGGTTCTTCACGAAACTTAATTTTTACAAGACTTAACCAGTCACCAACAATCTGGTTGGATGGTGGTGCACCATCATCCAAAAGCCAGTCAAGAACATGGCTATCTTCTTTTTCCCCAAGAGCAGTGTCATAAGTTGCTTCACATACTCTTACTATTGTGGTAACTCCATATTTTTTTTTTTTTTTTTT